TCACCCAAGACTAAAAGCCTAGGGTGCTCCAGCGCCCAGCCTGATATGGCCTCCAGCAGGGACAGCAGACTACTGGCCGGTGCGTTAGGTGGCCGGTACACCAGCCAGATTGCCAAACTCTCCTCGGCCTCCAGCACCAGACCAACACACTCTACGCCCGCAATCTCCGCCGTGGGGAGCGCCCTGAAGGAGTAAGCCTCTTGTACAAATATCACCACTCCTTCCCCCTGCCCCTTAGTCTGTGATTGGTGTAGGACTGAAAACCCAGGTGGGGCAAGCTGGGAGAGAGCTACAGTCTCCCCGTCCCGCACCCAGGTCTTGGTCACGCAAGCCAGGTCAGCCCGTTGTTCCATAATAAAGTCCTAAAGGACCGCTGTTTTATTATGCACAGCACCAATGTCGGAGGAGGGTTACTAATCCTTGCCCCACTGCCGTCATCCTTTGGGATGAGTCGCAGGCTGGAAGGGTGCCGAGCTCTTTTGTTTCTCAATGCCCTTCCCATACTCCACCGCCTGGACCCACCGCTATACTTTCCCCTCCCAAAGAGCACTGGAATCTGTTGTACTGGCATCGCTACCTTTAGGCTGGTCCATGCTGCAGCTCCAGACCATCAGTAACAGCCAATCAACCGTCTCCCAAATGCGGCACCCCCTCACTGGCATACAACCATACATCCACCCTCTGCTATACAAACACTTATCAATACAATGGTATATTTGGCTGCAATAACACAAGAAAAACCTAAAACACTCCTACCCCCAACATTCCACTCAACTTACAACCAATCAGTCTCCACTCTCCTCAACATCAATAGCAGGCTACTTACTCACTCATTCATCCATGCATCCAGACAAAAACCCACACAGCAATGGTGTTCAATACTCTGATGGTTAAAAACCACCGCCAACAGGAGGCAAGAGAGAGACACTGGCCACCCTGCTGAATGAAGATCTTCTTCTTTTAAGCTTGGACATGTTCTTCCACAGCTCCCCACTAGGGACACTAGCTGATCTTTAAAGGGCCAGCCTCTAGAAGCATTCCACAGTTCCACACTCTCCTGTGTTGTTGTAAACTGGCCTCCTTCGTTATAAGCATCCTCCTCCCCTAGCAGTCCGAGGGAGATTTTTCTGGGCAGTCCAAGGGGGGCGAAAAAACCCCGGGCTCCCCACCACCACCGGCTGCAAGCGCGACTCTGAAGCTCTCTCTTCCCGTGCCCGGTCACCACTGGACCTACAGCCCTCGTGAAGACG